TATAAACCTGTGGAAGTGCAGCAATAGTTACGACACTGTGTCCAGGAAGCAACCCCAAGATCCCTAAAGCAGTTAACATCAATATAAGGACCTCCTAAACAAGTGTTGTTATTTAGCCCCACACCAGTGACAAAGTCCATGGAATTCAACTGTGAGTGCATCTATCCCAAGTAAAGCCAGTTCACGCTGTGGACAATGTCAATACTCAACAGAAAGGTACTTTCTAATGTGAGGCTACCGAAAGGTTAAAACTCTTCTTTACAAAGCAAAAACCTGAGCAGAAAGGCTGCATGGATTTAATCCCTGTAGTTGAAGGAGGCATCTGCCTTGTCCCCTTCCCTCCTTCACAAGTGGCTCCTTTAGTCTTGGAACTTGGTGCTTATTTGCCAGAAAGGTCGGAAAGAATGACCTCTAGAAACAACTTAACTCTTTGCTGACATTTAATGAATGGTTATAGAATTTTCACATTTAATGATTGTGTACCTTGTAATGTAAAACTTAGCAAGAGAAAAGAATTTAGATGGATACGTTAAGTTGTAGAAGGTCAGAGTAAGTCACAAATATTCAGGGAAAAAGTTATGTAGAAAAAAAGTAGTTCTGTCTTGTAATAAAGTGTCTGGTTGTGCCAGATCGTGAAAGATGATAAAATAACTCGAAGGTGTAGAGAAAGTTGTTTGAAAAGAAGTTGATGAGAAAGGAGAAGTGAATGAGTTCATTATAAGAAAAGTATAAGAAATATGAAAGTCTGTATGGATTGATCCTCACTAACTGCCATAATCTGTCTTTTCTTAAAATTGACCAAGAGGAACAGAAGAAATAAATTAGCCATACAGTTTACAATGACTCTTGAAAGCCTTGAAGTTGTTCTCTCAAAAACAGAGTGTTTTTAATTCTGGACCTTAAAGATGGCATCTGAATTCTAGGGAGTGCAATTCGCAGAAAGAATAAACACAGAGATCTTCAAAAACTTCAGGGGGCAACTCAACTGCTCCTACACTAAAGGTGGTCTCAGCCCCATGTCATTTTCACCCCCTTCTCTTTTCTATACTTAGTAGCTTGAGATGAGCTGTTATAGTGGCTTATTAATATCTTCCCTACCACTTTCTCAGATCACTGGTATCTGAGCAAAAACATTTGTAGTAGATCTGTCTCTGCTCTTTAGCTTGGTAGAAACAGGCTCCATGAATCCCTACATTCTAGTTTCATTTCCTGAACTAGCTCATAGCCTTTTAGGACCCTTGCTTTTGATAATCCTACTACTAATTGTTTAGCCTGTGCCTAACACCCTAGTAAAGTTTATGTCTCCAGGCTTCAATGTTTCTATATAAAGATGACAATTATAAGTGGATATCAACCAATTCCTTTATGTAGTGTCCATCAGGCTATAGTTACCTTCCTCGAAGAAGACCAGTCCAATGTTTGATGGTTCTTTTTCCCCAGTAGGAAAAGGGATAAAGTATAGGGTCAGAAAGAGAGCAGACTAGTTGCAACCCTGCTGTCATTCAGAAGTAGTCAGATCACTCTTTGCCCACTTCCCCAAAGGAATTTGGGGTACCGCTCTTTTCAAGGGGAATGACAGGGGCAGAACGGGGACTTTTGCCCTACCTGCTTTGGAAATGAACAAAGGACCCTGTGAAACAAGTTATGAACAAAAGACTGTAATAACTGGCTTGGCAAACACCTTGACGTTGAAGTCTAGTGAAAATCTTGACACAGGATTGTTCTCAAAAGATAATTCTAGGACAAGCTTGCCCAGAGCTGCAGCCTAGATAAACAGAACGAAACGATGTATGAGACTCAAGGACAAACTGTGTAACTTCTAAAAAAGTTGTGTGATTATCTGCAGAATGGAAAGTCCCTCTCCTTTGAACGTGACATTTAGAAAACTGGAAGAGTTCCCCTCGACAAATCCCTTCTCACTGCCCCAGAGGGACCCGCCTCACTCCCAGATTGAAATGTATCCTATCTATGCTTAAGGTGTCCTTCTCAACTCATGAGAGGTACTCACTTCATGTCCTTTGAAGCAACTCTATGCTTTAATAAAACTGTGGTTTCACTCTCTTCGCTACTGTGACTGAGCATGAGTGCAGCTATCTCTGGACCCTAACAAACCACAGGGGTTTGAAGCTGCTAGTTTCTCTGGGGGTGACAGCTACGGTGCTGAACTTCACAGACATGATGAGCACACCAAGAGA